CTTCTTTAAAAATAATTTGATCCTTATTGGGATATTCATAATAGTGAGAATTGAATGAATTAACAGGGAATTTCAAATATCAGGCCAAAATAGTCGAACTGAACACACATTTTTTTAACCGGCTATTTTGGTCTAAATTTTTAAATTCTCTTTGAAATCCAGCATTTCTCAATTTAGTGAATAACTCTGATAAAGTTGTAAAGCCCCTCCTGCTACTTTTTAAATACCACAAACAGGTAACAGGATCTGCACTCAATCCACAAGCCAATTGGGTACTTAACTAGACCATGGTCCAGCACTAGCCCATCAAAATATAATATCAGTTGAAGAAAGAAGATCCAGGCACTCCAATGCTTAAAGACACATTTATTGGAACCAGCGGAACACAGCAACATTTTGACCCAAAATTTGGCTTGAGTTCCTGGACCTTCTTTCTTCAACTTTTTAAATACAAGGCACATCCAATTAACTCTGATATCTCCAATGATTTGATGATCCAAACTCCATCCTTTCCCATATTGGCAGCCGTGAAAGTCACCTGGCTCGCCAAACATTCTGTGTTTATCACTGTTAACAAATTTTGTTGTTCTACTCATTTACTTAACGAACTAATCTCAGAAGAATTGGTTTGCTTATAGTAATAATGATAATGCTGCATTATTCAGGGCTTTCGTGTTGATGAATATTATTGCTTGTGAATAAAAGGTTCATAAAACAAACAACTCTAACAGCTCTTTTTCCTTACTAGAGACTGTTGTAGGGTTTTTCTAAGTGCTAATTGCCACGTATTTTAAGTGTTCCCAGTGGCACAATAAGCTCCATGATTTGTATAATAAAATATTTTCTTAAAAACTGCTGACCTATTATACAAATGCTGCACAGCCCATGCAATTTTAATTTAGCACTGCTTAATAATGCGTTTAAAGTAATACACATTTTCTTTCGCTGAGTTATCCACTGTCTTCTATGCGTTGTGTTACGTATATTATGTACACAACATTTTAAAATATGTGTTCATGGATAATAATTACAAGGTCAAGAGAATTTTACTTTCACATTCAAGTCATGCCTTATACCGTCTTGCCTCACCATCTACTTTTAACACTAAAGTAAACTGTACCTGACAGATCCAATGCGGCCGCAAAGCTCAGTTGCTTTTAAGTTGTATTCTTATTATACTTTGCTGTTTAAAGTAGTGTAATGTCTCCAGGAGTGCATTGTGTGTCTGTAAAAGTTATCTCTAATTCAAATGTTAGATTCTAATATTTGGGTTCCTATCTGTCTACGTACAGACAAACTAAATCATTTCAATATGATCTGCTTTTACAGTTTTCATGCCCTCCAATTATTTTCCTGGTGTATCACTAATAAATTCTGTATTAGTCAAGTAATAAAGAAACATAGGCTAAATAAGCCAGTGCGAATATATCACTAATCTGAATATGTGGACCTTAAATATCATGGCTTATGATCAGAAATATATAGTGTGTGTGTGCGCGTGCATGCGTGTGTGCGTGCGTGTGCGCCGGCGCAGCTGATGCTAAAGGGGATTAGTACCTGAATGATAATCATTTGTTCTGAGGACTAGCTGTCTCTTGACCCTTGTGGAGCACAGGCCTATATTTCAACTAGTTTTACCTGTACATTAAGAGAAACAGTTTTTTTGTATTAGTTTATCATCCTACGGTAAAGGGCACCATAGAACAAATCGATCTATATACATATATGGCGGGTATCTGTATGTTATACTACTTCCAAGATACTAGATGTACTTTGTGCTGCATGTTCTAAGTGTAGAAATAGCCTACATTTATTACTTAGCTGGTTATTGGGAACCTTGTAGGATCAAATTACAAATATGGTTTTATTTTGACTTATTCTTTGCTTGCATCCTAGAGACTCTGTATGGCTAATTGACACCATCTGCATCACCATAATGACCAGCATCAAACTTTGTTGCTATTTCTAACCCTAGATAGTTTAGCTTTATCTAAACCTTGCTACTCGTAAACCCAAGTAAGTCTAACTAACCCTACTTGATCCTAACCTGGCTAACCCTAACAAACACTAATTGTAGCTAAAACTCCTGAAGCCGGCCATCTGCTGGAATTTAGTAAGTTCTTACATATAGAAAAATGTTTGCAAACAATACAAACCTACATTCAGAGCCTTTCTTACCTATTTGCAAAGGAACAGTTTAATCTGAATTTTAAAAAACCCAAACATAATTAATGCCAATAGTACATTGACAGACTGTTCACAACAGCCTAAATCATCAATAATAATAATAATTGATAGTAGCACAGTCCATATCTGATAGGAAAGTAATAATGTGTTGTATTCTGTTGCCAATTAACACGTTTAACACAACTGAATGTTATGGTTGCGATTTCTATGTTAAATATTCATAAATTATAATTATTGCCTTCATTAATGTAGCTCTGTAACGGAAGGAAGGTCAAATGCTCCAACCATTCCCTTAAAGGGTTATATACAGATTAGTAATAGTCTAGTAAACAGATGCTTGAATTCTTAAACAGCTGTATAAAAAATAATAGTTGCACTTTAACATTTACATCTATTTCCTCAATTAATTTATTGTTAGGCATAAAATAGTTGACCTGTAATGTTTCAAAGTGACAACAGTGTCAGGCCGTGTAACCAAAATAACACATTGAATAGAAAATACAATAGAAAAGAGAATAATAGCACTTTGTACCATTACCATATTTTTTCGTTGCATGCACAATATGCATAATTAATATTTTGCCTATTTAAATGCTGATGTCAAGACCCATTAACTGATTACATAGATGATTTACCGAGCAAAATGTAAAAATGGTCATTCAGTTTTTATTTTCATACTTGAACAAGCTAAATGTACTCAATCCATGCTTTGATTTATTATAGGGTCAGTTTGATGGAAGGAAATGGTCATTTAAAGATCACATGCCTTACATTTGACTTAAGTTAAAAAAGCCTTGAATTTGATCACATTTTATTCCCAATAAAAACTATGTAGTACTATACTCAATTAATAGAGCATTTTATACAAAGGAATTGCACAGTTTTGCCAAAATACCTGAACAGGAACAAAAATTTAAGATGGATTAAAAGAATATGTATATTTTATTTTAGTTTAATCTAAAATTGCTTCTTATATAAAAGTAAAACATTTTGTTTTAAAAATTACAAAAATAAAACTGGATGTACTTTTACCTGCTATTTTATTTTGTTAGGTAGACTACATGTATCATGAGAGAAGTATTTAACCTGACCTGGTCCCCAACAGCCACTTATTGCTGGCAGAGTGATACTATCTAACTGCCCTCTTCTTGTTACATATAATGAAGATCCTGTCACTGGAGAAGCAATGAGAAATTCACAGTCACTGACAAACCCTGGCAGACAGACTATATGATTGACAGGCTGAATGCACTTGAATGCTGTCACCTGCACGTGACTTCAGCCAGATCAGATTGGAGATGACACTCTGCATAAAATGGCATGTATGTGCTTAGGGTACATGCTGGTTTTACACAATTGAGAGACATGTTACCTTTTGCTTCTATCAAAGAGGAAGAAAAAAATAAACATCAGTAAATAAATCAGTGTCACAGCTCTCTTGGATTTAGGTTTTGTTTGTGCTCTTCTTGTGGCAACAGACGTTACAGGCAAATCTTAAAACCAATTATCGTACACAAGATGCTATGATTTGCCCTCACAAGTGGTCTTCATGATCAACAAATCTACTGTACTACGATATTAGACAAAGAACACATGGCTGATCAACAACCCAGTGTGGACTGAACAGCTTGCACTCTAAATCTACGTAGTGAGTAAACAGGGGTATCACATTTTGCTTTTTTTTTTTACCCCTGCATATTATCTGAACACATCATGAAGAAGATGCCAAATAAAAACTCTACAATATTAATTCCAAGAGCAAAGGCATGTAAATAACCTGACGTCTCATTAATTATAAAACATCCGAGCAAAAATGATATCATCACATCATCACATAAGCCATATACTTACTAAATTCACAGTAAATTAATCAATATATGACACTTTCTTTTTCTCACTATGCCTGTTTCACTAATCATATACAGCAACTAATTTGTAAAAAAAAATTTTTTTAAAAAAAACATATATTGATAACCTGACTTAGGAATGGTTAAATATGTTTTCCAAACAAGACAGTTAAAAAAAAAATAAGCAAAACACGATCATGTTGTATCTCATATTAATTAAAAAGCATATTATCTAGAATGAGAAACACATTAATATAAAATGCTCACTACACATACACATAATGTGAAAATGTACGCAAAGCAGTAATACTACCTACTTAATTTGAACTCTCCATTGGATTAAACTACAAAAAAGGTAACTAATGATTATTAATTCACAATGTCATTTTGCATTTAAACCATAAGAATTGAATAATAAATTTATCATTAACTGCTATTTCAAATATTTTGGTGTTCTAACATAGGAGCTATACTTTTAGTGAGAATGTGTGTTTAACTATGTATGTCAGAATGCTAACGCTGCAAAATTGTGTTTATTGAAAGGAAATATATTGGTTGTTGTTTACTACTAACTCAACTATGTGATGACTACTACCACTTGTGATATCCTGTTGGAAACAAACATTTATTAATTGATTCTAATGAATTTATTACCCATATTGAAAATTGCCAAGTACATTAGGTGTTGCAAAGTTCAATTCACTGCTCTAAACAAGAGCCCTCTAAGAGCCCTTCTTGAGTTCCAGTGGGAAATAATGTTATTATGGACTCTACACAGCATGACATGAAACGGTTCAATTCTAAAAATAAAAATAATGGTATCAGCAAGTTGCCTCATGATGTTAGATGCAGATGCGTTATCATGTTGGGCCATATTGGTCATGGGTAGTGATGTCGCGAACCGTTCGCGAACTTTGACGCGAATGGTTCGCCGCGGTTCGCCACGAACCGTTCGCAGTGAACTCCGGTCAGCTGACACATCCCTGCCAATCTCCGGCAGACCCTCCCTCCCAGACCCTCCCACGTCCTGGACAGCATCCATGTTGACGCTGCCTTCAACATGGATGCTGTCCAGGAAGTAGGAGGGTCTGGGAGGGAGGGTCTGCTGGAGATTGGCAGGGATGTGTCAGCTGACCGGAGTTCGCCACGAACCGTTCGTGGCAAGTTCGCGAACGGTTCACAACATCACTAGTCATAGGTCTCCAAATTCTTTTAGACCACAACAAAGATAATATTCATCATATATTGCATATACTTATTGCTATGATCTATGATAACAGTACCAACATGTAACTGAAACATTCATCATTTGCTTTATTACATGCTATGTTCCAGTTCGGAGACTTAAAACAAGTGATATAATTCTGCAAACAAGTTCAGAGGGTACTTTTCTATTTATAAATGATATTTATGGACTGGATATAGCACCTGGAAAGTACCAACTAACGTCACCATGTGCAGGGTTTGAAATAAATATATATATATATATATAGCATCTGCTTAAAAAGCAGCACCTTTAATATCTTGTGTTATGATGTGAATTGGCAAGGACATAGTACAATGCCTTCGTCTGTATCAACATGGCAGTACTATTAAGAATAACGTGAATTTACTGGATAGTATACAGTTGGCTGGTCAGGTAGTTTGCATTTGCTGTCAACTGATATGTATCTGTGTGATCTACATTTAATAGATAATTTTCGTACATTATGAATTGTTTCCATGTAATGAAAAGATCGTCTTGCTTGAGCGGCCCTGAGTTACAGTGAACATCATTCCCTATATCCAAACTGCCACTAAAGTAAGGAATATTATGGGAACAGGTATGAGGTTAGTGGATCATGATCTATCTTGACATGAGGGAGGTAGTGAAGCAAAGTTGAATGAGCATAAATTTAAAAGAATAATAACATCTTTCTCAGATGGGACTAGAAGTAAAATTATATTGGTTCGCTGTTTGAACAGTTATAGAATGAAAGACGAGAATAATTGTGATATTTTCTTTTCTTTGATTTTGGGGGCGGAATATTGGGGATAAAATGAAATAAATGATTAAATGAATTGACATTGACACTAAAGAGATGCACTTAAGTACATTTAGGCAAGATGTGTTTGTTGGCATGATATAAACTAGAAAAAATAGGCAATGCCTAGAAGGGTATATATAAATAAAAATTATTTTACAAGACATTCAGTCCACACTGTAACATCTGGGTATTTCCAGAACACATTCAAAATTATTAACCTGGAAAGTTAAATTTAGCTTTTTAAAATTTTCAGATAATTTTCAGGTGTGGACGTTATTGTTGCTTAACTTCACGTTATTCATTTTATCAACCTTCAGAAATATGAATGTCTGAGATGGCCCTTGGCATTGAACCTGTGACTTTTATTATTATAGACCACTTCTGACCACATTTAATGGTAATTTTGTATTCTTTTTTGAACCATATCATGCTTTAAAACCTAAACCATGGGTTCACTGGCAATAACTTTTGTAAATAACTCTGGAAAGTATCACAATGAACCTATATCTGTACACTATATATCAGCTTTATCCATTTTTAACGTTTTAAAATATAATATACGTGATGCCCACTTTGATCATCACTTTGATATTTTTCATTCACTATTTTCTAAATGTAAATTACAAAATACAAGTACACAGCAAAATGTTCAACAAGAAGTTGCAACCATATTATATGTATTACATGTTGCAACTCTAATTTAGCTTGTTAAGGAGCATATGTTCATGTGTAGCAGTTTGTCTCTCTCTTTCACTCCTCAAAAAGAAAAAAAAGACAAACAAAAGTTTAACATTTTTGAATTATTAGTAAACAAGACTATATTTAAATATGATGTTGTCTTTTCAACTTACCTGAAGGTTCCTTCTTTGGAGAAGTAGATGCTGTAAGTCTGAATATTTCCTTTTGTCTCCGCAGGAGGATGCCAACTGAGACGAACAAATCGACTGGAAACCAAAACAGGGACCACATCTTGGGGAGCAGAGGGAAGGATACTGGAACTGGGTATAGCTGGAGGGGAAGGTGCGGATTCAATCAGAGAGGAATTTGAGGATATAATTGGTAATATAGAGGTTAGGGGTTGAGTGGAAATAGGGGTAGGAGGCACAGCTACTTTTGTAAACACAGGGCCAGGTAAAATGAAGCAAGGATATAAGCAGATTAAAAAGATGTCTGACAGTCAAATATATATAAGTATAAAAACATACTTTGTATATTCCTAGTTTAGAATTAAAATGCACATGCATTATACTGAGAACCTAATTTTTTAATTACATTTAATTGAATTAAAATCTCGATGTTTAAAGTACAACCTTGTACATATGTTTCCATGTTTTATAATGTTACATATCCTTTTTTTGTTTTTTCATTCTAATGATAAAAGCAACTTAACCATCCCAGGAAAAGTAGAACTCAAAGAAAAATGTCTGTAACTTTCATATTCACAAATGTGTTATAAACTGAAAGAGTATAACGTACAAGGCTTTAACAAGGGACTGCGGGTAGTAACGATCAAAATAACAGCAACATAGCAAGATAGTAACAGCTTGATTTATGACCATCAAATTAACATTTCATACACACATATTGAGGAGCTCTAAGGAAATCCTTCCTGACGTCAAAATGGGAGATTTACATCTGTTTCAACGAGCTATTAAAAATATGTATATTCATTTTTATATTTAGTGATAAAAATCATTCTATACATCTGTTGAGTTTGACGTTTTAACTTCTCTAGACAACAATTTCCTTATCTTTCATTTTATTTCTATAAAGAGTCTGTTCCTTTGCTGTAGTGGAGATGATATCTCTGTTTGTCAAATTTCAGTTGTGTTTTTGTATAGTTTTGTTAATGGATACATTTGGGGCACCAGTGATGTAGTTTGCATCACTGGTCTACCACCATGAACTCTCCTGTCCCAGCTTCATAACACAGTTGACAAGTTTTTTGAGCACGCAAAAGAAAACTGGTTTTGTGGTTTATTTTCTACAATATTTTTTGAAATTGTTCAATGGCTCTGCTGAACAATTCTTGTATGTTTCCATCTGGTGAGACTTAAACATTTTTGACTTGGCTACTTAGTCTGAAAGACAACATGAATTTTTATTTAATGATTACTAATATTTGCTACTGAATTTGGTAGAAAAGGGTGTGAAATAGACACATGTGTTGATCCTGAGGAAAGCCCCGGTCAAGGGCTGAAACGTCAATCTTTTTTATGGAATACTGTCAATAAAGGAACTTTATTTATCTTCAAAGACCATGAGTGCAAGCCGTTATTTTACATTTTTATATTGTGGCTATGGCTATATATGCACCCGACATTTAACTAAGGTGATCAGTCTGAGTGCAAGGACTTAAGAATACATATATATATATATATATATATACTATTTATCAGGTTCTGAACTCCTGCCTCTCAGTGTTCTTAGCCCAGTGTTAAGCTGCACATATTATATTTCCAATAACATAGCCAGCACTTGAGGACTTATCAAGTGAAAAAAGTTTAATCCGAAGATTAATTCAAATCACAATGCAATTGTCAATGTTTTAGCTCATATCATAGAACTTTCCTCAGAACATAGTCCATTATCTCTTTATTTTTTGCCACCATTGATGGAGCTCCAAATTACAAATCAGACAAACATACTTGTCCATACTTGTTTTGTTTGAGTTCAAACATACTTGTTTCGTTTGAGTTCCAGAATTTGGATAACCATCAGCCTAAATTTGGACAAATTGTAATTCTGATGAAAACAAATGCACAAGTCTGGTGTGAAATATATTGTTGCTTGTTAACAGAAGTGACCTTATCTTTAACACATTCAAACCATTACCTTGTACGCTTAATCCTGGCATTGAACATACTCATAGTGCGACTCAATATCCTCTGGCTCTTAAATGTTCAAGTTTAAGGTCAGATGCAAGAGCCTCTCTAATTTCTACCACTCCCTTAAAGCAATCTGATTTGTTGGTTTAATCTAAGAATTTACAATCAGCCCTTTTAGCTTGCAAGGCCTAGAATTAAGGCTGTTAATATGACCGAAGACCCTTTATCAATTGTTATGTAAAATCTAAGGAATAAATATTCTGCAGCACAAAACTTGCTAAGATTTGCAGTGCCTTTATTATGTTAACAGTTTGTCACTTTCTTTGCCAACAAAATATGTTTGTAATTATGCATGTAGTGTCTAACAGGCATTTGTTTAAAATGTGTATGATTTATATGCAAGACTTTAGAGATCTACATTCATAACAGAGTGCCTTGATTTAGGAGAGAAGATAAACTGTTACATAAGTCACTGTGCTCCAAGATTGCAGACGGTGTTGATGAGTTTTATGATCCAATGAAAGCTGTAATATAGTATTTTTTGTTTTGATTTTTTTTTTTTTTATTCTTTATTTTTGTTGTGCATTATAGTGGCAAAGAGTGGGTCACATGCACTCAGTAAATATTGAGTAATAGGCATATTACAGTCAGTAAGTGCAGTATATACAATCGCACATTTTTATAAAGCATTGTTAAGAGGCAACAGTATGAGTAAAATATGTTTAAACGAGAGTCAATAGATAGGCTGTGTGTGATTTCTAAAATAGTAAAGAGGTTTTGAGTTTGGTAACGGACCACAGATGAAGGTGTAGGGCTCTAGTGATAGTATTGGTCCTGATGACAGTATGAATACCCTCTGTCCGGGAGGGGGTGAGGGGGAAGAGTTGACTTGATGGGAGTCATTGCTTAGGGTAGAGAGTTAGCTGCTCCTTGACAAGTGGGAGCTCCGCCATGGTTATACAAATAATAGCCCTCTGGTGAGGGATAGTGTGCCTAGGGAATCCCAGGGGAGACAATGTGACTCAAACTCTATGTCTGCAGCCCTTACTCAACCATTGCAGTTGCAGAGGCTTTATTAATAAGAGGTCTAGCAGTGAGGCACAGGGCAAAAGCTTACAAACATAAAATGAATAAAGTGAAATAAACATTGAAGCAACATTATAGAATAGTAAGCAACTTCTGGTGAAACTTAAATTTAAACCGTGTAACAGGTTAGCTGTATGCATTATGTGTTAGAGGTCGATTACTGTAGACCTGTAGTGGGAGTTCATGTGGTGA